CCACCATTTTTGAGTTGTAGTATTTTAGGGCAAATTTAGATTTGCGCATGCGTCAGAAAAAGTTTTCTGACATTTTGTTTTCATCGCGGGAAACGTCAGAAGTAGGTATAGAACAATATACCTCTATGTTCAAACTAATTAAAAGTTTATTACGTACGGTCTATTAAACCACACATTCCCATCACTATGTTTTCTCAATCGTATGCTATTCAAATATATGAATTAAATGTAGTTTAGGCTACGAAATTAGGACAAAACCTATACCTACACGTCAGCAGTTCTTTCTTTCGAACGCAACCTACTTATATATAGCTAGGCCTACGCTGGATGGTCCAGTCAAAAAGAACGCAATGAGCCTGACACAGTTAGGCTAATGTGGTTAATTTGTTAATAAGGCCAAAAGTGACCAGCGAAGCGTGCGAATCAAATTATGCTAGGACTGATGGGAAATTATGCTAAATTATGCTAAATTTTAAAATTTAGTAACCCCCTCCCCCAGGCGAAGATCCCCTCCCCTAAGTACTTTACCCCTCCCCTCCGCCCTCCAACAATAAAAGCAAATCCCGGTCACGTTGTTTAAGTAAAGCATTGTCCAAGGATAGAGCATGGTTGCATTATGTCAGGGGTGGCGCCAGCGGGGGTGGGGGCAGTAACAGAGATGGGTTGGTTAGAATTTGTTAGGGATAGATGGGTGCGATTAAAGGCAGAATATCAAAAAAGGAACTGGAAAGGAAACCAATGCAGTCATATCTGCTACAATTTCTTATTCCGTATTCCCCGACTCGTGCACTTCATTCTTCTAATAAATCTCTCCTAGCTCCTTCTAAAATAAAAAAGCTAAAAACATACGGGCAACGCCCTTTTTCATTTATGGCACCTTACTTCTGGAATCCTTTGCCTCTCCCAGTACGACAATGACCCAATTTAGAATTATTTAAAACTAATCTAAAATCATTTTTGTTCACGAAACCACTTTAAATGGGTTAAATACTGCGCCTTTGATAACACTTTTGAATTGGCGCATTATAAATGTCTGCATATTATTATTATTATTATTATTATTATTATTATATATATAACGGTTTTTTTTCTAAAATTAAATAATTGACTAGGAAGAAATGTAATGTGCTGTTTTGATTACAATAAATAAAGCTCAATCAGAGCGAAAAAGGTATAATCTAAGAAAGGATAAATAAATAACACTAATTAACCTCACACCATTAATGACCAACTCAATCTTGAATATCCATTTGATTAACCTTATTTATGAATTACTGTAGATAACTTTACTGATAATGTGTAAACCCAATAGTACTGTAATCACCTAAAGTGTTTGTTTTGTCTATGTAATATAGTTTCTTGCATGAAAATCAATCATAGTAAATAATGTTCAAAATATATTTGCTGGCTACAAAATCATGACACTCGCCTCGTCAGCAGAGTCTACAGGTTCGTATCCTACCAGAAACACTTTTTTATAGGCTACAACACAGGAAATTTTCGTTGAAGTGCTATGCTTGCTACGATTTCTATTCGATCACATGGTATTGTTATTTATCTATTATTTTAATTTTGTTTAAAATGCAACGACCGTAAACACAATAACACAAAAATAGACAAATAATAATAACATTGTTCGAATAGGAACTTTTGGTCGTAAATTTGATAACATTTAAGAAAAGAAAACATAGCCTATAACTTCATAATACATAGGATGTAATTTCAATCTGTATATACTACTACTCTACCACTACTCAGTAATGAAGAAATCGTTGAACCAATAGTACACACAAAAGCTTTGTCCATACGCACGATTTATATAAGCCCATGGGAATTGAAGTAAGGTTTGTTAACAGTGATTTTAAATACAAATCACTGAAATAAAGAATTTTAATTTACAGTACCTGTAATACAATTAAATAATGAAGAGTATACAAGCGAAGTGTTCCTTCTAACACGCGAACGTGTTTTACTATACACGCGATAATTGCTGCTTCTACTTTTCACGAAATTGATATAATCAGAGAGTGGTACACCTCCAGATAGGTCGATCTCAACGGGCATATATCTTGATTCGATTTCCCAGTCGATCATGCGGTAAAATGATAATTACAAGTATAATTCCTGTTGGGTTTGTATTGATGATTCGATTATTGTTTAGGATTTACCCAATTAAGATGTAACATTCGACTGCAAACGAGCCTAATAAAAAAAATACAAATAATGGACGTTGGTCTCTAAAAGTCTTAAAATGTATATGTTGTTGAGTTGTTTCAGATGCTCGTGAAAGTGTTGTAACATACACACATACATGCAAACGTGTTTTTCTATTAGGCCTATACACGAGATTTATATAATCAACACACAAGGGCCTGTATTATCGAAAACGGACTAACTAACTTGTCCAGGACTAAAGTTAGTCAAATTAAATAAAGTAAAGTTAGAATATGGACCAAGAAGATTTGTTTCATTAGCAGGCTGAGCATTGTGATGATCATCACGTTAAATATTTACTAAACACAATTTCGTATATTGTACTTACTCCATGGTATTTAACCTTCTTAATCCTTCGAGAAGCTCGACATCACATTGGCAGTGGCGTATCTAGTTGGTGTGCGGGTAAGATTTGTTTAGTTTCCCCTAAAAAACTCACACATCCCCCCCCCCACAATTTTGTTCCTGTCAGAAGCAAAAAAATCACGCTCAAGTACCGTAGTTAAAAAATCACATTACACCTTATTTTGCACACTTAATCATTGGTCCCCTTCCTCCACTCCATCTTTGCCCCTCCCCCATCAGTCTTTCCTAATTATCTCAAGACTCCTAGATACACCACTCGACATCGGCTGTATATTAAGACTTTGCAGTTCATAGCCAATTAATAGACTAAATATTAATATAACATCATATTGATTCAAAATTGAATGTTTTGTGACTGTGTTGGAATGGAATTGAATGGTCAGGCTCTTATTAAAGTAGAGGAATGGTATCCAGTTGAGACTTGCAACAGATGAGAGACAATTTTCGCGCTAAGCCCTCATCATTTTGTCGATTAAATAATACCCGAAGCTATCATTAACATGCTGGGGATGAGTGCATTTAACTTGAGTTTGACCTAACTATGAAATCTAATCGCCGAATCAGAGTCCCCAGCTGTGAGATTCCTTGTACAACATGAGAAAGAATGCTTTCCAAAAACTAGGCTCTGAACCATACATGTGAACAACTACCTATTATTTTGCTATGTGAATAATTGAACTTCATAATTTGCTTTAAAAGGTCGGTATAACTGATGCAGGCTTTAGGCCAGTAATTACCAGATTTTGTTGTAAATTTAAAAACAATTAAAGTTAATTTACATTACAAATTTGATTTACAGAAATGTAGGTCGCGCTTAGATTTCAATTTACTGACTCTAGATTGAAAAACCGTAAAGATAGAAATTTATTCACACCATAATTCCGTTGTACAATTTCACAATATCACGTGGTACAAAATTTGATTGTACGATCATTTCAGGATAGACCCTACCCATACTGCGTTATGATCATTATCATACGCCAGTTACACAATAATGCTTAAGCGCCTATGCTGGCTCTTGAGCCAGGCACTCACTGCGCCCGATAGTCTGTTTTATTGGGAACGCAACGCCACGACGCGCAAAACGGATCGTTTTAAGTGCAGACTATCACCTGCTATCACCGACAAGCAGCAAACGGCGCCGCGTCGTCAAACGCTCTCAGGGCCGAGCACTCACTACGCCCGACGATCGTCAGCCGATGCGATTCTGTAAAATCGTTTTTAATGACAGTACTTTCAGACTGCCACCGGCAATCAGCAGACGGCGTCGCGTCGTATAGCGCACACAGAGAACGAAGTTAGATTAAAACAAAGACACAATAACGTATCTTAATAATATTATTAATTACAATTATTACAATTATTATAATGCTAATAATAATTATCACCAAAAAAAAAACCAAAAAAAACAAACAAACAAAACAAAACAATGAAGCAACATTTTTAGCAATATGTTCTAGTAAGCCTATATCGTAAATAGCATAGCAGACATGCACACTGGAGTTGATGGGAAATAGCAAAACGCCGATGTAACCAATCGGAATTATCATGAAGCCAAGTTATCGATACCATGTACACCATTTATTCTTTCGTTGACAGTGGCGTAGCTAGGGGATGGGAGGTCAAGTGTGGGCACGTGCCCAGGGCAAAATTTTAAATTGCGTTTTCTAACTCTTTTTATCCTGTTCTCTAATGACTACATGTCACGGAAATTTCGGGTATTTCAGTATACAGTTCAAAGCAGTAGATTTCAAAAGGTGGCAATATATAGGATAGGAGCTGTACAATGAAGCATCACACCAATCGCAGTGGAACTCCTTGAGTTTATCGTACTGTTCGGTGATGAGACGTTTTTCCGAACTTGCAAAGAGCAATTCAAATTAATAATGTCATTTGGTGACTTAGCCATCTTTTCAAGGCACAGTATTAACGGACCTTCCACGGACTTTAGTGAAGCCAAGTTTCGTCTAAGTATTTAGTTCTGTTCATTGTGATTCGTTAATAGCATTTGTTTACTGTACAGGGGTACTGTAATAAAAAGTTGGTGTACCAAAAAGACAGTGCTCGTAAAAATACATTTCGCTAGTCCTGCGTTCGTATTATGTACATAAATGCTGAAAACATTTTGCATATTTCAAAAAATATGTCGAGGCTTGTAGCGTACGATAGGTTTTGTATTGTGATCAATTACATTGATAAAGCGACTCACCAAAGTTGACTAAAATAACCTTTCAAATAGATCTATCTTAGCGGAAAGCGTTTCACCCAGATGTATAACGATTGCCCGGCGGAGATTATCTTTGCCCCATGAGATGAACTCTAAAAAGTACTTGGCACTTCAAACAAATTAATTAAGAACCAAAATAATAATACGTGCATGTATACTGGGGCCACAACACACATGCAGGTACAGTATATAACCCTCTTGAACATAACGTAACATTATGTTTATGTATAATGTGTTCTGTTCCTTTTTGCCAGGTGTCGGACTCGCTGCTGTAGTGATGTCATTTCTGCTAAATGTTTATTACATTATTATCATCGCATGGGCTCTGTTATATCTTTTCCATTCGTTTAGCGCCACTTTACCATGGGTTGACTGCGATAACTGGTGGAATACGGAAAACTGTACAACCAATTACACATACGTGGATAACAGTAGTGTATCTACCACAATGGAATTTTGGAAGTGAGTCTTTTCAGTAGCATCAAAATCGACAGCTAGTACTATAATTCATGAGTATAGGCCCCGGTATAGGCCCTAATAATGATTGCCATAAGATATAATTATATATACATAAATCATCGTAGGGCCTATAAGATAAAAGCAATCCATTTAAATTATACCGATTCAAGGGTGGCGCCAGTGGTGGGGTGGGGGTCAGGCCCCCACCCTCGGGGAGAAAAACCACAATTCGTCGGGGAGGAAAAAAAATTAGGCCTCTATATGCATATTGCACATATTAGACTCTAAAATCCTAAAAAGCCTTTGAAACCCCTAAGTTGTCAACCAAGTCCACTTTGCCGAAATCCAGCTTGCCGAATGCCATTTTGCCAACCCAAAATTATGAAAACCCAGTTTGCCGAAACCCAATTTGCCGAATTTCTACCACCATTAGTTTTTCGGGTTTCATATTCACCGTCGTGAGTAAAAGTACAGAGAAGTGCTTTTGTCAGTGCCATATCTGGTATTTTACATGGGGAGGAGGAGTGGTTGATGAGGGGGAGAAAATATGAGTAAAGTAGGTTTGAGGATAAGGTAAGGAAAAGCCAGCTGACAAAAAATGTAAAATTAGGAAATTTTCAAAAATGTTAGTTTAGAAAAACTGCGCTCTTATATACACTAAATAAATTATGTAAATTACTGACAAATGGTAGAGCAAACGAACAGTGGACCAAAAATAACAATACAACTCGGAAGGCATTAATTAGAACTGAATGACGATGGTAAACAAAGCAAAAGATCAAACGGTGGGGTTTGCGTAAGGATAGTCCAACAGGTCCAGTGTGTCCATCCCTCTTAAGCTTTGGGGCCAGCCTACAATGCTACTCCTCACATCGAGTCTGTTTACCTTCCCAGCATATGTCGGTACCCATTTATATTCCTGGATAGAGAGAGACAAATTCTAATAAAGTGTCTTGCCCAAGGACACCAGCTGCTTGCAAGGCGGGAGTTTCGACACGAGTTTGAAAGTCTGGGCCTCAACCGCTGCGCCAAACGCTTCCATACTATTCTCAAATTAAACAGGGGAAGCCATGATTTGCTTGGCAGGGAGAGTCCGCAGATATCCTCGACGGCGGCAGGAGGATATCTCCGGCGAGAACTGAAGTTGCCCAGGAGCAAAATCTGACAATTCAGGGGTTTCAAAGTCTTGATAATCGATAGTAGTTGGTGAAAAGTGTCTCCATTCACCGCAGGAAGTCTTAGGTTCGAGTTAGGTTTAGACACAACTTCTTATAAACTCTCAGTTTGTTCTTAATGACACTAATTCATGTTTTGATAGGCGGTACATACTAAGAGAAACGGAGGGTATCGATGAGGTTGGTCAGCTCCGGTGGCAGTTGTCCCTCACCCTCCTGATATCCTGGATCCTATGCTACTTTTGTATATGGAAAGGGGTCAAATGGACTGGCAAGGTAAGTCAGCGATGAGGTATAATAATGAGAAGAAATAATTAAAAATATACATTCAGCTAAAATAGCAAATATTAATGTTAGTGTTTTTATAATTACATGCTAAATTATATAATTTCCACCAATTACATCTTTTCTAACAGGTAGTCTGGTTTACAGCTTCCTACCCGTATGTTATGTTGATAATCTTGTTTATTAGGGGAGTAACTCTCGATGGCGCTGTTGACGGCATCATTTTTTATATCAAACCAGATTTCAATAAACTTCAAGAATCAGAGGTATGGTAAATAATTTGTTAATTATGATATATAAATATTGTGTTATTTTGTGGTGTAACTTGGCCTATATATATATATATA